AAGAGATATGATTTTTCGTATCATATGTAGGTATAGTACAAGACAGAGTAAAGATTTAGACAAAAGTAACGAAATAAATAATTAATAATGTTTAACGGCTTCCTGACGTAACTGTTAGGTGAGCTCGACTAGTTTCAAGCCATACTAAGGGCTCATATCGATGACCACCATTGCGCGACACATCAGGCGCCGAACGTCACGCAGCTGACTTATCTATCAGAGTTTTCTCGCCAAACAGTTACATGATTAAACCGTTAAATATAATTTTAGAAAAACAATAATACAGAAATTATTTTTTTTTTATAAAGAAGTATTGAAAGTTTTGTATTGAACTTCTTAAATCTTTGTTTATTGTCATAGGGACACCAACTCGTAACTATTTCTAGTATTTAAACGTATGTCATATTAGAATTAGATGATATTTCTTTTCTAAAGACTTTGAGTACACGATTATCTATATTGAATCATCAATCTAATGTTCATAAAATGTATGTAAATCTTGTAGTTGGTTTATGTAAATCAACCATGTTTCTACGCGTTTACTTGATTGCTAAAATAGTTATACTTTTTAATCTGAATTATTTTATGATAATGATGTCTTCATCAGTGTATTTTCATAAATTAAAAGAGTAATCAAAACTTATTAGTTCTTTTTTTTTTGTAGAAGTCATAGATTAAATAGAAAGTAAGGTCTTATTTAAAATAGCGTATCAAGTTGTCTTTAGTAAACGTCTGTTGGACCTTTTCACTTATTTAGTATCTTACATTCATGACGATCCGTAAAATGGACGCGAATAACAAAATAAAACAAAGCAAGAAATATTTCAAAACATTGTTAAAGAGTCATGTCATTTTATAAAAAAAAATATGCAAAATTTTCTATTAGGTACACTAAAACATTGTATTCACCACTGGATACTGACAGTATAGTCGACATGATCGTTTTGGAGACTTGTTTGCCAAAGAAGAGAAAAAAAACGTATAATAAAACATGGCCACCAAATAGACACCACGTTCACTATTTAAATAAGACATTACCGCAGAAAAATCCACTACACAAAATTGAGCACTTAAATAAGAACATTATATTAAACATACATAAGTAATAAGTATATAGCATAGCATGAACATTTAAAATTATATACCACACTTAAATCTATTGATTACATTGAACAAATTACATTGACAATACATTTTTGTTAGTTTTTGCCAAATCGATTGTGTTTTGCTATCTATTTCGCAAAAACGGTAATAGTTAAATAAGTTAATAGATGTCATTTACACTCTTAAATTGATTCTAGTTCTGCAGTACACAGGCTGATTGATTGATTCCCTGATTTTTCTAACACATAAGTAAGGAATATGGGTCCGAAGAGTGACTCGAAATTAGTCGAGTCACGTCATCGAAAAATAACGTGAGTAAGTGGTACCAAACAATTATTTAGGAAAACTAAAAATTATGATCTGATAATATCTAATCACTAGGCTGTGTGACGTACCCGAGTTCCCGTCCCTGTGTGACGAAGAAGAGTCCCCTCTGTGACTCGAAACTAGTAGAGCTTTCCTCAATAAGTTTACGTGAGTAACTCGTAATTTTTAGTTAAACTTACTTTATAAGCTGTGTTATAAAGAATATTTTGTATTTTCTTTTTAAATTATTTATTTCATAATTGAAAATGACATCTATTAGGAAATACATTAGATACAAAGATTAAAAGATTGAAGGCACGCATCATAAACATATTTATGAACAGTACGAAGAATACTTAGGTATAAGTACAACATTAAAGTTGAATACAATATAATATATGTAACAGCGAACATTTCATCAAGTATACATAGGTACATAAGCAGAATTGGGTATGAAAACTATAAATGTAATTAGTCCGTAAGTTAGGTAATGAAAAAATATTAGACACGTATTTTTATATTTTGTCGTAAAATAAAACAAGCCTTAGATAAAACGAATCAAAGTTCACGAGTGGGAGCTAAAACGTCATTCCTACGTATAAAATGTACATAGAGGTGACGTCACGCGACATTTCAATTCAATATACCGTCGAAAGTATTCGTTTCTGTAAGAAAATAAAAAATACGTGTTTAATGATTTGAAATAATCTAACAGGCGGACATTAAAATAAAAATTAAGCGTGTACCCTAGTATTAATAAAAAGTAACATAGGTTGGTATGAAGATATATGTATAGAAAACAGTAAGACAAATAGGAATGATCTAAGTCATACATAGAACAATGAAAGTAGATACTTATTTGCTTCACATTTAGGTACAAAATTACTAAGAAAGGGACTAAATAAGAAATTGTAATTAAATAGTATTTCATGCCAAAGTCAGATATGTAATCGTACTGAACTGTTTTATTGGATTACAGTAAATAATCTTTTGAATTGTTTGAAGGATTTGAACCTTTACCTTTCTTAAATGCTTTCAATGAGGGCCGTATTATTGCTCACCATATAGTACAAGCGTTATATGTAAAAGGGAGAGGATTTTTTGTAAAATCAGCTGTGATTGGCTGTCAAATAGTGAACATCCAATGGCGAGTCAAATATGGAACATCTAATTGGGATGATGACGGATGAATTAAATATCTATTTAGTCCGTAAGTTAGGTAATGAAAAATATTAGACAAATATTTTTGTTGTATAATAAAGTGATACGTAGATAAAACGAATCAAAGTTTAGGAGTGGGGGCTAAAAAGTCATTTCTACGTATAAAATGTACATAGAAGTGACGTCACGCGACATTTCAAATCTATATATCGTCGAAAGTATTCGTTTCTGTAAGAAAATAAAAAATATGTGTTTAATGATTTAAAATTATCTACCAGACGGACATTAAAATAAAAATTAGGCATCTACCCTATTGGTCGAAGAACGACACGTATACACTAGCGCTATCTGGTGAGCAAAAATATATGATGCCCCATTTTGTTATTTACGAATGAATAATATAATACTATCAATCATTTGCTAGCATAGTATCGTTACTTTATTTCTTTTTTCCCACTACAAAACCTCCCTTTAGTACCAATACTTACGTTCCCTTGAACTTGACCACAAAAAACAAATACCGATCGAAAAGTTAGAAAAAAATCTCGCCTATTGTATTATAGCTAATCTGTTTCACACACAGCCGGAATTCTCTCGATTCTATCGAAAAAATTCTTTTGTCAACTCCATTATCGATGTTTTTGTAACGATTTTTATTCGATTACAATCGTGATTTGAACGACAAATCATTTTTCATCGAAAATAGTGGAAATTATAACGCTTTTTATTGTGTTTGGTACTATAAATATAGCTCCGGCAATGTTTACGTAAATATAGAGGCATATACATGCCAATTCGATTTAGATTCTTAACCCAAAAATACCTCAAAGCAGGTCTAATCATAATTTCTGTCTGTACAAGATAACACTTGGATATTAGTAGGTATTTTCTTTATGAACTGTGGAGAGCAGATGGCAGTCATTATATTTTTTACTGACCAGAAAAACATATTTTATTATATAATTGTAAAGGACACAAATAGGACAAAGTGAGGTTAAATTTATAGTTACTAACATAAGTTAAAGGACACGAATAGGAAAAGCTTAACCTTTCGCTGTCCTATTCATGTCCTTTAACTTAATATGTTAAAAAGCAATTGTTTTAATACTTATTGAGTCATTTTCATAGGAATAGAAAAAGAGAGAGTAGAGGACAGATTTCTAAGACAGAATATAATATAGTTCACACATTAGCAATATGAAGATTTTGAGACACAATTAAGCAAAATACGATAATTATATTAAATTACGAAAAATTCAATACAAACTAGATCTTAATATTAATAACAGCTACTTCAACGTCTAACATTTTTATACAAAATTTCCTTTATTTATTACAACACCATTTTAAGCTTCTCTCTCTTCTATATATCAGTTTGAACACTAGCGTATGTCGCGGCTTTGGTCGCGTTTAAACTGTCAAACACCAAGCGGTCACCGGTGACCGCAACCTATTGTTCTATAATTGTGTCTACAAAACCGGTACTCGACGAGTTAACGGGAAATGGATATATTATTTTAATATGTATTTTTAAATAATTTACGTCATAAGGTAAACATCATGTCCTTTAATTCTGTGTCAGAAATGTACAATGTATACACAAATATCGTTATTGTATGTTCATCTACACAAAAACAAACTTTGACTATTTTTAAAGTATTTTTTTACTAAAGGGCAATTAATGAATTTCTTTCTCGTGTCTGATACTGAATCTATCCTATCTTTCTTTCTTCTTCTAACTAAATAAATGTTACCACATGTTGAACAGCCGATGAAAGGGCTCACAATAAGAACAATAATTAATTATTACATTTTTCGGCTTACTCACGTATCTTCTTTTCAGATTCAGTTTCAAGCCATGCTACAAGGTCATATTATGGCTACATAGTACTAAGTCTAGTTCCTCGTCAAATAATTACGTGACATACATAACATCACGCCTTTTTCCCCGAAGGGGTAGGCAGAGGTGTACATTATGTCACTATACAATGTAACACCCACTTTTCATTATTTATGTTATAAGTCCATGTAATGGAGGGTGAGCCTATTGCCATATACCGGGCACAATTCCAGACTCCGTGCTACTACTGTGAATTTTTTTGAAAAACCCAGTAATACTTTGCCCGACCCAGGAATCGAACCCGAGACCCCTTGCCCGGCAGTCGCACTTGCGACCACTCGGCCAATGAGGCAATAATTACGTGAGTAAGCCGAAAAACATAATAATTAATGTCCTACATCTTTACCATTACCTACATCACTTTAAAACATATATGCCAGAATACTGAAACGTTACTCAATTTTAAGTCGTGCTCAAATATCGTGCCATCTCTGTCATTTTACAAAGAATTTGTAGAGATAGAACTATACTTAAGCACGACTTAAAATTGAGTAGCGTTTCAGTATTCCGACAATAATTATGTACTTACAAGTCGGTTCCACATTGTGTGAAGTATTCAAAGAATTGTCTTCAATAACAAGAGTCGTCAAAGCATCACTATTGTACACTTTTCTTATTAAATTTTTAATTTTTAATCACACCCACCGTATGTCCTGGTTTTCATACAAAATTGAACTAAACAAAATGTCCTTTACAGATTAAAACAATGTACTTAAATAACAGAAAACAAAACAAGATAACCATGAAAGTATGTTATCTTAAAAACTAAATTATTTATCAAGGAAAGTAGGTTAAATAAATATTGCAGTTGACTCAGTAACTTATTGTATGGTTGCTGAAAGTATTTGAAGTGAGTTCGATTCGAAACAAATTCATAGTTAACTAAAAACTATATTCACGTGAGTAATAATTGTAATATGTCATTATTGATCTTTTTAACTTGTAAATGTTTGATTATGAAAAATCAACAAAATTTGTTCATACAGAAATAGTCTCTAAACATCAGAAATAAGGTCTATAATGGTGTAAGTGCAGAGCGGAAATTGAACTTGAGTTTATAAAGTGACTAGTAAAATGGGCTAATAATGCAGACGCATAGAATTAACAACTGTATTGTGAACAAAACAATATAAATAATGCTTTGGCATGTCAAGGGAACCATTTCTTATATCTTTTAACAATTAATTTGTTTTTGAACTACGCGACAAAGAGTTTCTATATTCTTAACAAATGAACTAAATGATAGAAAGAGGTCTATATTTTTATACTACACCGGTGGCAACAAGGCTCACGGCCCACCTGATGGTAATTAGTCACCGTGGCCTATGAACGCTTGCAACAATATTTCTTCAAACCATCTTCATTGATTTTATGATATAGCATCCGCTTGATGTAAAACTCTTGAAACAAACCTCATAGAACCGGCAGCTAAAACTGAAATTCAAAGGTTGAGAATCCATTTAATGTGTTCTTTAATGAATTTTAAACCTTATATTTTTGGGATTAAGTTGAACATCGATTACTACCTCTTCTATCCTCCAATATCTGTGACACACTCTAGATGTACATACAAATACTAGAAACGCCATCACGCAGTTCAAAATCAATTCACAAACCCTATCCGTCTAAGTCACAACGCGTATAAGCTCAATCCTCCCTCCCTCGACTCAGGCTAAACCTCCTATGAAACTTAAAACCTTTCTTCTTCTCCTGCCGTTCCTCCAAAGGCTTGTCAGCCAAGTTATCAGCACTCTTCGCGACCTGAACACTTTTCCTTCTATTCTTCATAGACTTCACAAGTTTGTAGAATTTCCCTTTCTTTTTGGGGTCTTGAGCGTGGTCTAGACTATCTTCTTCTACTTCTACGCTGAACTCTGAAGATATGTCGCCGAGGTCTTCCACGCTGTGGCTCTCTATTTCTTTGGGGTGTGGCACTTCCAGTTTGCCTTTGGATGTGTCTGGTTTTGGTTCTTCGGGCGGCGGTGGCGCGTCGGGGTCTACGCACTGGAATTAGAAAATAATAAAATTAATATTTTGGACAAAACATAACATCATGTTGACTACATGAAACTACATAATATAACGCCTATTTATATCCGAAAGGATAGGCAGAGGTGCACATAACGGCAATTAATGCTGATGTATGTATGTACATCATGTTGACTACATGAAACTACATAATATAACGCCTATTTATATCCGAAAGGATAGGCAGAGGTGCACATAACGGCAATTAATGCTGATGTATGTATGTACAATGTAACACCCACGTTTCACTATGTATGTTATGAGCCCCGTGTAATAGGTGGTGAGCCTATTGCCAGATACCGGGCACTATTTCAGACTCCGTACTACTACTGAGATTTTTTTTTAAATCCAATAATACTTTGCTCTACCCGGGAATCGAACCCGAGGCCTCTTGCCTGGCAGACGCACTTGCGACCACTCGGCCAACGAGGCAGTCAGTTACGTAGAAAATATTACTTATAATTCATATATTACGTAAAAGTAGGTTATAAATTTAAAAAATAGTTTTTGAACAAAATTATATTATCTTTCAGCTATAAAACATTGTTTAGTTATGTTTATTAGCCCTTAATAAGTACAATAAATTGTGCAACGTTTGACGTTCTTTAAAGGTTGTACACATAAAACCTTTTGCATTAATTTAGGTTAATCAATTAAAGCGTATTACTTTATTACTGTGTTTTGTTATTGTGATTTTAATTGCTAGTTTTTATACTAGGTTTTATACGACGTTTCATTTATATATATAGTCCTTATACCAAGGTATTTTACATGGGTAAAATCATCGAATGACTGCTCACGCCTAGGTGAGGCGGGCGGGAGGGAGTGTCAGACTCTTATTGACTAAAAACCACCCTCTTCCTACTTCTGCACTTCGAGCCGGAGCCCCGGTAACAATTTACGTTCTCCGCGGCTTCGTATCGGCCCTATTGGACCCCATCCGTGGTGGTCTGATGGCTCATTGAGGCGCGCGCGGAATGAGACGCGCCGTATACTAAGGTTTATATAATTGTAGGTTACTATACAAGGTCTTTTTTTTTAAGGGGGGAAAATCATCGAATGACTGCTCCCGCCTGGGTGAGGCGGGAGGGAGTGTCAGACTCTTACTGACTAAAAACCACCCCGTTCCTTCTCCTGCACGTCGAGCCGGAGCCCGGGTTACCCGTTAGGTTCTCCGCGACACTATACATGGTCTGGAGCGAAGCGTGAGCTAATAACTAGTATTCTGTATTCACTGCACGGTTGGTGCGGTGGCTGGGCAACCGGCTGCCGTGCAATGTGTCGCGGGTTGGATTCCCGCACGGAACAACACTTTATGTGATCCACAAATTGTTGGTTCTGGTCTGGGTGCCATGTGTATGTGAACTTGTATGTTTGTAACCCACGACACTTGACATAATCTTTAGTGTGGGGCAACGTTTTTTTTTTTAAAATCTATTAATACCTATTAGAACCTTTAAACCTAGAAATCTATTAGTACCTTTACCCTAACTACTATGCCAGAACCGTGTAACATTGCCTACACATAAAAAGGAAATACACAATGAAAGGTGTTCGCAATCCACGCTTTAGAGATTAGCATAATAATGAATTCACAGGAAATTATGTCTGTTTGTCACGGAAATAGTAACATTTTGAGGTGTAAAAATGTGTGATACATACGGATAGAAGACATCGGGTTTAGTTATCTTACAGATTAGATTTTACAGAAGTTGTAAACGAAAACTTAGCAAAACGATGTGCATGAGAGTTGGCTTATATTTATATTCGATTAATAGTCGGCAATCGATTAATAAATCAAATAATCTTGAGTAAGTTTCAGTCAAGTAGTCAATTATTAGTTGAAGTAATATTTAGCTACTAATTTCTTGATCAATCAGTTGTAACTGAATTTAAAATCCAGAACTTTAGTTCTAAATATTGTTCTCGTCAACCTAGTATTGTGGGAGAGCCATGCTTACATGCCACGGCCTCACAGAAAACTGATGTGAAACAACGCTTGCGTTTTGTTTCGTCGTGTGAGTGAGGTTACCGGAGGCCCAATCCCCTCCCCAGTCTCTCTAATCCCCGAATCCTCGACAATCCTCAAATTCCCAATTCAAAAAAGGCCGGTAACGCACTTGTAACGCCTTGGTGTTTCAGATGTCTATGGGCGGTGCTGATTGCTTACCATCAGGTGATCCGTCTGCTCGTTTCCCGGCTTATATCATAAAAAGAAAAATATCCTATCTACCTCTACATAATATTATCCCTTTCAGGAACAAATGGAGTATTACAACATTTAATAAAACCTTAGAGTGCCACTTTGCTGGTTTCCAACTCAGTTTTACTAAACCCTAACTAGGTATAAAGTTTTATCAACCATGATATTGTGTGAACGGTCAAACTGTGTGGAAACTTCTGTATCTGATGCTATGTGAACAGTTTCAGGTTTCTATCTACTTTATTCGAAAGTTCGTTATTATTATTAACTCGACTGCAGTGTATTTAACTCATATGTTGATTTTTAAAATGTCTTTATATTAGGATAATATTTCAAGCTGCCATATTGAATTTAAAAGAAATAGATTTTCTATTCTAAACTTTTCCCAATTCGTCTTTTCTTTTGGTTGAATATCAGTAGATGTATATACAATAGGTAGGTAACCGTACTACTACTGCGAACTCAAAAAAAATACCTTCGTCTCAAATTCGAAAATAACTTTATGCTTATTTCAATCAATCGAAGAAAAAAGTCTTAACGAAACTCTAAATCAAACCGTTACATAACATCACGCCTTTTATCCCCAAAGGGGTAGGCAGAGGTGCACATTAAGCAGAGGTACACTGTATAATGCAACACCCACTTTTCACTATCTTTGTTATGAGTCCCACATAATACGGGGTGAGCCTATTGCCATATACCGGGCGCATGTGCAGACTCCGTGCAACTACTGATTGATTTTTTTAAACCCAGTTATACTTCCCCGACCCGGGAATCGAACCTTAGACCGCGGAGAACCTAACGGGTTACCGGGGCTCCGGCTCGACGTGCAGGAGAAGGAACGGGGTGGTTTTTAGTCAGTAAGAGTCTGACACTCCCTCCACTGGGCCAACAAGGCCTATGTTTATACAATACGTACAATCGGGAATCCTTGGAAATTCGGAAATAATTTTATGCTTATGTCAATCAATCGAAAAAAGAATGTCTTAAGAAATTTCTACATCAAACCAAAAAAGTTAAATAGGCACCTAAATCCCATTAATGTCATTTCCAAGAAATAAAAAGAAGGTTTTAGTACGAAAGTAGAATTGGATTGAAAGTTTGAAAACAATATAATCGATAATGAGGGATTTGGACCCGAAGTAGGTTCGGGAATCATTCAGAAACCTTTCAGAGGTCCCGTGTCTATGTATATGTATATATACTTCTTTGAATATATATTCTGTACTCTAATGAAAGACCCATCACATTAAGATGAGTATCTCTTAGAAGAAGCGTCGGTTCTACGAAATTCCCCATCTTTCATTTATTCTTTGTTTAATATTAAGTAAATAGGTCAAGGTATTTTAGTTATTAGGTATTTTAGTATGAAATATGTTTTTATCGTTATTTTGACAAGCAAATATATCGGTATATGGGCATCAGAGGTTTTTAGAAATAGTTCTGGTTTCAGAAAACGCTGCTGTCCGGTGTTCGTGTGGTCTGCCGAGCAAGGGGTTTCGGGTTCGATTCCCGGGTCGGACAAAGTACTAACGGGTTCTTTAAAAAAATCTCACGGAGTCTGGAATTTGTGCCCAGTATATGGCAATAGGCTCACCCCCTGTTACATGGGACTCATAACATACATAGCCCGAGTCGCACTTGCGACCACTCGGCCAACGAGGCAGTCAATCAAAAATACGATATTTACCTCTACATTGGTTTAAAATATCGTGTGACATCACGATTTACTACATTTTATAGGGTAGCGTGACGTAATGACCTCACTCCTAAACTTAATTCCGTTATCTAAGTATTGTTTTCTTTTACGAAAAAGTAAAAAAAAAATGTGTCAAATTTTTCTCATTATCTAACTGACGGTCTAATTACATTTTTAATTTTCATACATTGTCTACTACCCTATAGAAGCGACATAAGCAGGTATATCTATCTATTTTCTATTGGTACCTATAGTCAATTGACGACAAAAAAGTTGTCGATTCCAAGTGTCACTCGTCCCCAAGTTGCCGGGTTTCTTGTGCTCGTTAAAAGTTTATTTTATTTCTTCCTTTTTTCCGAAAAATCTCGAGACATTTTCCTTTTTATAAGGAAAGGTTCGTCTAATTTTGTTATTAGATAAGTCATTAATTACTGAGACAAAATTAAATTTGACGCTGTTAAAGATAATTTTTCGAGATAATTTGTAAAGTTATCTTAAAAATGGTTCCTACAGATTGAGAGATTGACGCATTTTGAGTATCGTTTATTGTCATGATTTGGCGTTTTTAAGGGGGGAAAATCATCGAATGACTTCTCCCGCCTTGGTGAGGCGACAATGGTTTAGTGTTCAACTCATACAAGATTCGTATAAATAATGATTTGGGCGGCTCACGAGCGTCTTGCGAGCTGCTCATTCGCGCAGCATTCACCAGATGTGGACGCACCCTATGGTAAATTCTCTATAAAAGAAGCCTGTAAATTTTTTGGCAGTTTTCAGTATGGAAGAATTGTTATTAAGTTATTCCTCTGATAAAATTTGAGTGGCGTTGGAAAAATTGGCCATCACCTAACAATGTTATTGTTACAAAGACTATTGTGTCATTCGATTTTTTAATTAGTATACACACATTAATTATACATAATTGGTTACCCGTTTCAGTGGATGTGGACATATGTACCTATATGTAATTGGAGCCTCATAAATTAGTAATCCATCAATAAACTATGACTAGATGATAATTATATTTTATGTAAGAAGTTACTGTTATTTCACACTTACATCATCCAAAGATATCCTATGCGGGGGGACCTGTTCAGGGTGCCTCCAGGGCTTGTGGTAGGGCAGGTCTGTGAGCGCCTTCCAGCCAGGGTAGCGACGAGCTGCTGCGTGCAACTGCTGCACCAGGCGTGGTGCTAGTTGTGCTGTCACCCTAGATCAGAATTAAGATATTATTTAAGTATAAAGTTATAGATTAGTAATAATTACGGTTTTTCGTAAAATATTTTCATGTTTGTCATAATTTCCAATTATATTTTTCATTCCAGCTATTAGTGAAAACAAATCTAAAGGTAGGGAAAGGTAAACAAATCTTAGCCTTATGGTAAACGGGCAAAGTTTCAATTCAGTTTACTCTTTTTTTTTTGAGGGGGGAAAATCATCCAATGACTTCTCCCGCCCGGGTGAGGCGGGAGGGAGTGTCAGACTCTTACTGACTAAAAACCACCCCGTTCCTACTCCTGCACTTCAAGCCGGAGCCCCGGCAACCCGTTAAGTCTTCCGCGGCTACGTATCGGCATCAGCCCTGTTAGGCCCCATCTGTGGTGGTCTGATGGCTCCTTGAGGCGCGCGCGGAACGCGACGCGCCGTACGCTCGGGCCTGGTTCTGGTCGGGCGGCGAGTCATCCGTGCTCGCCGTCCGCAGGCCCGTGCTTACGGTGGCCGGAGATCGTCTCGCGATCCCCGACGCCCGGAGTGTCTCTCGCGACGGCCGGGTCGTGAGGAGGTTCGTTCCCTCACGCGCTCCGCCTCCTCCTTACTGCTATGACTGCTTCGCAGAAGGAGGAGACGGCATCCCAGTCCCCCTCGCTCTGTACCATGGTCTGAACCAGAGCCGGATGCGAGAGGTCGCCGTCGCCGATCACATTCCTGAGGACACGGCGGTGCTCAGTCCACGCAGGACACACCGCCACCGTATGCTCCACCGTGTAATTCAGTTTACTCTGACTTTTCTATCCGTTTAAATTATGTAGGCACGCATACCCACTGCAGCAAAGATTCCATGCATTGTCAACTATTTTACAAATAAAAGAAAATCGCATTGCATATAAAACTGATTATTAACTAGATATTGAATATTGAGCTCTACGCGTAAGCCAATACAGTGCATATCAGGTAGATGGTAAATCTTTTTCCATTGCAGGTGTTAAACTTTTCAATTAACTTTGCATGCCGCATGCCGCTCGCAATTTCCAATACTGCTGAGCCATTTAGTTTAATAGAATTCGTTTTCCTTTTTTCAATTCACGCATAATGTTTTTCAGAGGATTATCAGAGATCTTAAATTAATATATCGTTTATGCTAAGTTGTACTTCCGACCATTCGACAGACAGACATAAAATAAATTAAGCATCTAGTGTAATAACCAAATTGCGTACCTGTTGACCAGCCAGGCGGGCAGGGCACCTCTAGGGTCAGACCTGGAGACGTAACCGAGCCAGCTCCCGGCACCAGACCTCGTCCGCACCACGAACCCCGTCAGCAGAGAGACAGCTCTGAGGAAGAGATAGATGCATAGAAGTTTAGTTTTAATATAATACCTACATCTACAAATGCGTATGTGTACGCAAAGTAATTCACATAATCCAAAATATAAAGTTTATATATAGTCTTTCATAACTGCAACGTTTCACCAAACAACATCACGCGTTTTATCACCGATGGGTTTTATTTTAGTGGGGAAAATCATCCAATGACTTCTCCCGCCCGGGTGAGGCGAGAGGGAGTAAAAACCAAGCCGTTCCTACTTCTGCACTTCGAGTCGGAGCCCCAGCAACCCGTTAAGTCTTCCGCGGCTCCGTATCGGCATCAGCCCTACTGGGCCTCATCTGTGGTGGTCTGATGGCTCCTTGAGGCGCGCGCGGATCGCGACGCGCCGTACGCTCGGGCCTGGTTCTGGTCGGGCGGCGAGTCACTCGTGCTCACCGTCCGCAGGCCCGAGCTTACGGTGTCCGGAGATCGTATCGCGATTTCCGACGCCCAGAGTCATAGACGCGACGGCTGGAGCGTGAGAAGGTTTGTTCCCTCACGCGCCCCGCCTCCTCCTTAGCTAATCCCCGAAGGGGTAGGCAGAGATGCACATTAAGATACTCAATGCCATTGTACAATGTAACACCCACTTTTCACTATTTATGTTATGAGTCTCATGTACATTGGGTAAGCCTATTGCCATATACCGGGCACAATCCCAGACTCTGTGCTACGACTGGGAATTTTAATTTAATCAAACAAGCTTCAACATTACTTCATAAATGGGACGAAAATCTCAAATTAATTGCAACAAAAGTATTGAAACACCTTAGGCTGATAAAAAAGCCCTTTTATTAGGTATGGGATGGTATAAAGTGTCAATTATGTTAGCAAAGGGTTCATTATGTAGACTCGGTGCGGCGGATTTAATTAACTGGACTGATAGCAGCTATCTAACAGGTGTCGCTTTATCAACCTGTTGCCGGCCTTACGTTCCATTTGTTGGTATTAGGTTATATTTGTTTGTTTTTTTTATTTATTGAGACGTAGTACAAAAACATAATTATGTGCAGGCTGGTGGACTTAATACCTTGGGCATTGTCTTATAACAGTCGACTTTACGGTGCAGAGATGAAAGTGCTTTTTTACTTTGAAGTATTTTTATATTTTACTAAAATTGTTTTACATTTTTTAATAAGGGGCAGATATTAGATATCTTCTCTGGCAAGAGACCAAAAGCCATGCAAATACAGTTAGGGGCAATTTTGGAAATCACAATAAGATAGGTAGGCCAAACTGCATATTAGAGGTAGAATAATTTTCGATTTTGTTAATAGATTAGTTACGTTTTTCTATAATTCGATTTTTTGTGTATTAACTTAATGAATCATAATCATGAACTGGCACAAAATGCTCGGATAAATATAGAAATGTTCGAGAATCAAAAATCAAAGAATAAACGTGGATCAAAAGCTAAAACCAGAGATGCTATAAAGTATAAACTTTTCTCGACGTTAAAGTTATTCGTTCGCTAGAAATAAGCTAAAGCTGACAGACAGCTTCAAGCTTAGAAACTACAACTTTACCTCTAAAGTAAGCTATAACAAAAATACAAAATGGAGAATGGAAATATCTTTTATATATCTAGGTTAAACTCGAAGTTGTAGACAGAATTACACACAGTATATGGTAACGTAATACCTACGTATAGAATAGTAGAATAGAATAATTTATTTGTATATACTCCACTTATAATTTGCTTACTTGTTTTTGTTTTTAATTACAATATTAACATTAATATAATATAACTAGCTACTTCCGCGCGGTTTCACTCGCTCTGCTCGGCGCCTATTAATTGTAGCGTCATATTTTATAGCTTATAGCCTTCCTCGATAAACGGGCTATCCAACACAGAAAGAATTTTTCAAATCGGACCATAAGTTTCGGAGATTAGCGCATTCAAAAAAACAAACTCTTCAGCTTTATAATATTAGTATAGATATATAATAGTATAGCTAGTTATGTGTTGTTATGAGACCCATATTTTATGCATGTGAGCCTTTACGATGCACAGACAGAAATAGGACAGAATACATTCTCAGACTCAAAGCCATTCTTAAAAGAATTCTGAAATTGTAGAAGTCAGAAATCCCACCATACACTACACGAGGCTTTTCCATAAAAAAAGCATCCTGTATCTTAACTACACTAACAAAATAAAATGTCAGCCATTACAAAACTCTTATTTTCTGTAATAAACAATAAGACTCATCCTGTACAAAGATTGTATCCACTTCCAGAATGAAATTCCACAAAGCATAAAATAAAGTAGCTGGCGAATGAATATAAAAACCAGCGCCTCGGCTCTAAAGAAAAACTTCGAACAAAAATAACGTAACTATCTACAAAACGAACGAATGAGCTGAGAATATCCGGACAGACTAAGACTTGATACAGACGAGCCACCACCAGAGCCTCAAAATGTCATCACACGCTGCCATTTTTCATGTAGTTTTCATACATTATACACTCGACGCACACATATGCTTCTTAGACCTTGATATATAGACCCGAGCGTACGGCGGTCGTGTTCCGCGCGCGCCTCAAAGAGCCATCAGACCACCACAGATGGGGCCCAATACGGCCGATGCCGATGCCGGAGTCGCGGAGAACCTAACGGGTAACCGGGGCTCCGGCTCGAAGTGCAGGAGAAGGAACGGGGTGGTTTTTAGTTAGTAAGAGTCTGACACTCTCTTCCGCCTCACCCAGGCGGGAGGGGTCATTTGATGATTTTCCCCCCTTAAAAAAAAGGCCTTGATATATTATGTACATTACGTGTGAGTACCTATCGAATTTCATTTCAATCGAGGTAGTCGTTTCCATGAATAGAGACTTAAAAGTTCGTGTGAATACCAATGATCGCGAAAATGCAGTCCGTTCATTCAATGCTCGTCTCTACGTCTTAGGTCACTTGCGCGTTTCTAACAAAATTTATAGCAGCCACCTACAACAAGTTGCTATTGTGCGCATCAGCTATTCAGCTACTCTTATGAGCCTTGTGACCGTTTATAGCATTTGGTGGCTGTGGCTGTGCCGATGTCCCGTCTACACCGACCCTTAGAATGTCATTCGAGAAAATGGCGCGAACGCTTTGAGCTGTCATCTATTCAATGTCATACTTCGGTTGGCTTGAATAACAGCTAACATGTTGAAGTCCCGATAGCTGATTGTTATTCGTAGCTTATTGAATACTGTTTTAGATTAGAAAAGGGATTAGAGATGTTGGTTGTTACATGTTTAACTATAGTGTTGTGAATGGAGTTTCTTGCTCGTTCTTCTCCATTCGAATCTACATTTTGGAATGAGTCCTAGCTTCACCTAGCTTCACTGACGGACTGACTGACAGACTATTATTTATTTTGTATTTGTTGACGTTTCAAAAGTACCAAATTATGGTTTAATTGAAATAAATGCTTTGACAGTGACTTTGTTTGAGATTAATGATTGAATAAGTAAACCTTTTAATTCACACATAACGTATTGAAAGGTCTTAATGACGTCATACTAGTTACCACGCCTAAAAGCTACAAAACTAGTCGCTCTAAGGACCAAGATCCCAGAAACAATATCTCTGTTTGCCTCCCTAATCACCTTCAAGATAAGTTAGTTACGTTAACCGAAACTGACACCTCTTGACTAACGGCAAAGTTTGTCCAGAGCTGAGCCGGTAAGTGGAAGCCTCTTCTAGGCTCCGCACTCAACACACTCACTAAATAAAATAGGTTTAATGACGTAACTTTTTCTGAGTTACCTACTGCCACATATATACAATAGGGATGATGACAGGGTATGAAAATTAAAAATCTAATTAGTCCGTAATGTTGGGTAATGACAAAATATTAGACCCGTATTTATTCTTTTGTCGTCTTTTTTTTAAGCGAGGAAAATCATCGAATGACTGCTCCTGCCTGGGTGAGGCGGAAGGGAGTGTCAGACTCTTACTGACTAAAAACCATCCCGTTCCTTCTCTTGCACTTCGAGCCGGGGCCCCGGTAACCCGTTAGGTTGTCCGCGACACCCAGTGATACTAACCCGACCCGAGAATCGAACCCGAGACCCCTTACCCTGCATTTGCACTTGCGACCTCTCGGCCAACGAGGCAGTTTTAACATTTATATATAAAATATTAATCCGATATTGTCCTTGCGAGTATCGCTGTTCTAATTAACGTTTAGTTACTTCATTACTTGTGCTTAAACCGAGTCCTCGTTAAGCCTCCCGGGATTTCCATTACCTCCCATTTCAAGAGACTGGGAGGTTTATATCTAAAGGTATTCTTTTCTAAAAATTTCTCAAGTAATTTTACACTTTTTTAACACATTTTTAAGAATTTTTACTAAGAAATTTTGCTGGCACGCCACCGTCGTAACTGCCACTCAAAGTTATGATGATCTTTAAAGTGTGTCTGACGATCAAATTATGTTCGAAATACGAAAAAGATTTTTTAGAAATACTAGTCATAAATTATTAGGTATGTTTTCGGCTTACTCACGTAATAATTTGACGAGGAAATCGACTAGTTTCAAGCCATGCTAGAGGCTCATATTCATGAGCAGCATTTCGCGACCCGCGACGCGGCGACTGTCGCGCTGCAGCAGCGCGTGAGAAGTATGTCTCACGAAAGTCACAATACAAATACTAGCCATACATCTTTATACTTGATAGGTTGATGTTTGACCCCCATCTCGCTGGTGGTAGGCGATGATGAGGCCGACGCGCTGGTACGCCTACCTATGAGCAACCTGTTCACTGCGGACTTTTTTTTGAGGGTGGCTAATCAACCAATGATTTCTCCCGCGCGGGTGAGGCGAAAGGGGATGTCAGCCTCTTACTGACTAAAAAACCTTCACTCGGGATTTGAACAACATTATTTAGCAAAGAAAAATTAAAAAGTCGTAGACATAACTAATAAACGTTAGAATATCACTGATTAGAATAAACTGACATCGTGGCCTATTGTTATAGG